GGATTAAAGGCATGTGCCATCACCCCTGGCCTTCTTTTTGTATTTATTTTAGAGTGCTAAATATACAAAATTTACTGTAAAATGAGACTTGATGTTCCCAAAACACTCATACACTTAACAAAATAATAAAGTGGTTCAAGGATGAATAAAAAATGTCAATGTATCTTTAAGTGAAAGAAAAACAAACTTAAATAAAAATAAAAACAAAAAGCAAAGGGCCAGCCAAGATGGCTCAGTGAGTAAAGTCAAAGTCTCTCTTTTTTTTGAGTTAGTCTCCCTGTACCCCCAGCTGACCAGCTGACCTGGAACTTGTTATGTAGACCAGGTTGGCCTCAATCTGAAAGAGATCTACCTGCCTCTGTCTCCTGAGTGTGGGATTAAAGGTGTGCACTATCACACCTGGTTTAAGCTAACTATCTCAATAGTTCTATAAAGTTCTCTCACCTCAGAGCCATCCTGCTGCCTCTGGTATTATGGACTGTCCTGAATGCTCTTGCACCTACTGGCCCAACCATGTCCCGGGTGGTTGTGATGCTCCATCTCTCCTAATAAAGCTTATTGTTGGAAGGGTAATTTTATGTCAGCACCTCTTCCAGATGAACCACTCATTGCTTCTTTTTGTCATTAACGAATAAATATATTTTTTATTTTAAAAAATCTATTTTTATTTTATGTATATGAGTGTTTTGCCTGCATATGTCAGTGTACCTGTGTCATGTAATGCCTTGCAGGCCAGAAGAGGGCATTAGAGTCCTCTGGAACTGGAGTTGGTTAACAGCCACCTTGTAGGTGCTGAGAACAGAATCTGGGTCCTCTGCAAAAGCTGCCAGTACTCTTAACCTCTAAGCCATCTCTCTACCCCCAAATGTATTTCAAAAATAATTTAAAAAGAAACAGCAAGCCGGGTGTGGTGGTACACGCCTTTAATCCCAGCACTTGGGAGGCAGAGGCAGGCAGATTGTTGTGAGTTCAAGGCCAGCCTGGTCTACATAGTGAGTTCTGGCCAGCCTGGTCTACACTGTGAGTTCAAGGCCAGCCTGGTCTACATAGTGTAGTCCCAGGTCAGCTGGGACTACAAGGAGACCCTGTCTCAAAAAGACAAAAACAAACAAACAAACAAACAGCAGGGTATGTAGCACATGCCTTTAATCCTAACACCTGGAAGGCAGAAGCAGGCAGATCTCTGTGAATTGAGGCCAGCTTGGTCTACATTAGTGAGCTCCTATCTCAAACAACCACTAACAAAAAATAGTTTTCAATTCTATTTAATTTTAAGTAATTTTCATGTAAATTTCAGTAGTCCGGGGTAGGGGTGATGGCTTAGTTGGAAAAGCACTTGCCCTGCAAGCCTGAGGACCTGAGTTCAATCCCCAGGCTTTAGGAGCGTGTGCTTGTAATCCCAGTGTTGGGCAGATCCCTGTGGATTTCTGTGTAGTCTACTTGGTAAGCCCTAGGCCAGTGAGAGACCTTGTCTCAAAAAACAAAGTCGATTGGGACAGGAGAGATGGCCTGGTGGATAAGAGCACTTGCTGCTTTTGCGGAGGATCCAAGTTTGGTTCACAGCCACCTGTAACTCCAGCTCCATGGGATCTGACACCCTCTTCTGACCTCTGAGGGTCCTGTACTCAACACACACACACACACACACACACACACACGCACTGATAAATAAAACTACTAAAAATGAAGCTTTAAAAAATAATAGGGAGCCAGGTGTGGTGGTGCGCGCCTTTAATCCCAGCACTTGGGAGGCAGAGGCAGGCGGATCTTGTCGAGTTCAAGGCCAGCCTGGTCTACGTAGTGAGTTCTGGGACAGCTGGGGCTACAAGGAAACCCTGTCTCTAAAAGACCAAAAAAAAAAGAACAAAAGAAAAAAAAATAGGGACTGGAGAGATGACTTAGTGGTTAAGAGCATCAGCTGCTCCTGTAGAGGACCCAGGCTCAGTTTCCAGCACTCACATGGCAGTTCACAATTGTATGGAACTCTAGTTCCAGGGGAGCTGACACTCTGTTCTGGCGTCAAAGGGCACCACACACACATGCTGCACTTACAAACATGCAGGCAAAACACTCATACACATTAAAAAAAAATCTTAAGAAAAGCCCCAATAACACAAAAACATGGACAGCGATGAGGAAGGTCACCTGAGGTTAATGTCTGGCTCCACACACATGCACACACACATATAGCACACATGGACAAACACACATGTGTGGCTAGTGGTTTTTGTACTTCCTTAGAGAGAAGGGCTCATGCCACCTCCAAGCATGGCTGACTCAGGTCACAGACTCATCCCTGGGTGAGATGACCAGGATACCAGCCCCACCCTTTTCCAATCCTTACAGATCACTGATAAGAGGTCACAGAGGAAGGATGCATGCTGGCCTAGATTCCTGAGAGTCCACAGCTACTCTATGAGTAGGTCAGCCAGTCTGCAGGGCCCACCTTGGGGTTGTGGGGGAGCTCAGGGCTCTGCATTAGGACCCACCTACTTATCCATCTGGAGGGCAGTATCCATTTGAAAGATCAGTATCACTTTGACTGACAGGAATCCAATTATTTTTGGAGGGTCAGAGTATCCATAGGTAGCCTGGGTGGGTCTCCAACTCTTGATTCTCCTGCCCCAGGTCTCCCAACTGCTATGATTACAGGTCTGCACCACCACACCTGGCTTGACCTGGATATTGAAAAAAAATTACACTTAATAGGGCTTAAGAGATGGCTCAGTAGTTGAGAGCACCAACTGATCTTGCAGAGGACCTGGGTTTGGTTCCCAGCCGCCCACATGGTGGCCTGCAACCACCTGTGATTTCAGCTCTAAAGCCCTTTTTTGGCTTCTGCAGGCATTGCATACATGTGACACACAACATGCAGGCAAAACCCTTATAAACATAAAGGTTAAAATTACACTTAATTAATGTGTGTCTGTGTGTGCCCATGCCACAGAGCACATACGAAGGTTAGAGGATAAATTATGAGTTAGTTTTCTCCTTCTACCCTGTGGCTTCTCAGGATCAAATTCAGGTTGCCAGACTTGTTTGGCAAACCCAGTTACCTGCTGAACCATCTCTCTGGCCTTGATAATTTATTGCCATTAACTTCTCCATATATATCCTCCTTCCTTTCTTGGTTTTTACTTTTTATTTTATTTAAATTTTAAAAACATTTTTATTTTTAAAAATATTTTTAGTGTTATGCCTGCATGTAGGTAAGTGCATCCATGTCGTGCAATGCCTTTAGAGGACAGAAGAGGCTGTTGGATCCCCTGGAACTGGAGTTACGGACAGTGGTTAGCTGCCGTGTGGGTCTGGGATGTGAACCTGGGTCTTCTGCAAGAACAGTCAGTGTTCTTAACTGCTGAGCCATCTTTCCAGCCCTATTTTTATACATATATTTTATTTTAAATATGCTTCCCCAATTTCACTTTATTAATGAACTGATTGATTTATATATATTTTTTGGTATTGAGACAGGGTCTCCCAGTAGCCCCAGCTGGCCTGGAACTCACTATGTAGACCAGACTAGCCTCAAATTCACAGAGATCCACCTGCCTCTGCCTCCCGAGTGCTGGGATTAAAGGCATGTGTCACCACGCCCAGCCATATATTTATTTTTATGCATGAGTGTAATGCCTGCATGTAGGTAGATGCACCTATGTCATGCAATGCTTGAGGTCAGAAGAGGGTGTTGCTGGATCTCCTGGAACTGGAGTTATAGATGGTTGTTAGCCACCATGTGGGTCCTGGGAATTGAACCTGGGTCCTCTGCCAGACCAGCCAGTGCTCTTAGCTGCTGAGCTATCTCTCCAGTCCCTTATTTTTATTTTTTATGTGTATGAGTGTTTTGCCTACCTGTATGTAAGTGCACCATGTGCATGCAGTGCCTATGGAGGTCAAAAGAGGGTGTCAGATCCCTTGAAACTGGATCTATAGATGGTTGTTAATGGCTATGTGGGTGCTGGGAACTGAACCCGGGTCCTCTGCAAGAGCAGCCACTGCTCTTAATCACTGAGCATTTATTTCCCCAGCCTTCTCTCTTTTTCTGAGGCAGGTCTCACTATGCTGCCCTGGCTGGGCTGGAGCTTAATTTCTATTTTGAGTTATGGCTCAGTGGTAGAGCACCTGCTTGGAATTCTCCAATGAGGAGCTGGGGGGGCGTGGCTCACCTTCAACTCCTGATCCTCCTGCCTCAAGTGCTAGGATTATAGTTGTGTGCTAATATTCTGATTTGTGAGGTGCTGGAGATGGAAACCAGGACTTTGTGCATGCTAGACAAGTACTCTATTAACTGAGTTACATGCTCAGCCCTTTTTAAATTTTTTTTCTCCCCTAACCCCATTTTTTTTTTTTGAGATTAGATCGCATTGTCTAGCCCAAGCTGACTTTTAACTCATGGTAATCCTCCTGCATCAGTTGGGATTATAGCATTGTACCACCATGCCAAGGTCCAACCTAGCCTCTGAAGAGCCTGCATGTGCCCTGGCTGGACAACTCCCTCTGCTCCACATCTAAGTGGGTGATACCTGGGTGCTCTCTTGCCCCTGTCTGCCACTCTTTCATCTGGTCTTCACATCAGGGTTAAAATGTACTTTTTAAGTTTTGCAATGTGTGGTGGCACATGACTTTAATCCTATCAGAGGCAGGGAGATCTCTGTGAGATGAGGCCAGTCTGGTCTACATAGCAAGTTCCAGGCCAGCTGGGGCTACAGGGCGACCCTGTCTCAAAACATCCCCCCAAATTTATTTATATTTTTATGCGTATGAGTGCTTAAGTGCATCCATGTCACACAATGCTTGCAGAGAGCTTTGGATTCTTTGGAGCTGGAGTTTCAAATGGTTATGAGCTTCCACGTGGGTACTGGGAACTGTATGTGGGTCCTCTTAACTGCTGAGCCATCTTTCCAGTCCTCTCTTGCCCAAATCAGGCTTTTTAAATCCCTTTCATCTGATCTCGACTGCTCCCTTGGAGCCCACGTACATACATCACAACACAAACCCTGCACGGGGAGCACAGAATTGTTTTTATTATTCTGAGTTTGGGCTTTTTAATTCCTTCAACATCGGGGTCGCTGGGGGGGAGGCAAGTGTGTCCCACCTCTCTCAGTTGTGGTCCCACCAGGGTCTGCTCGGATTCTATTTTGGGTTCAAAGTGCACTGAGAAAATGCTTCACAGTTTTAATATGTCCTAGATGTTCAACTGAGGCAAAGTAGGAAATGGCCCTCCCACCCCCCTCCCCCACCAAAAAAAACCAAAACCAAAACCAAAATAACATCCAACCCCCCAAGCTCCCAGCAGCTGCTGCTACAGCCGTTATGAAAAAATAATACAAACTCTCCTTAAAAAATAGATTACACAGAAAGAACCCAGAGGACAGAGGCACCCGAGGAGGGGGGCAGGGCTGCTCCAGTCAATGAGAGGCCTGGGAAGGGGTGCTGAGATGAACTTGGGGTGCTGGTGGATGGCTGCTTCTTTCCCCTCTGCCCAGCCTCTGCTGTGCAGGTCAGCCCCTCCCTGTCAGTCAGCCAGATCTGAGGCATCCTGCCCCCTTTTCCCTTGAGGGCTCCCTGTCTACCCTGAGGTCTATCTAGTACCTGCTTCTCACTAAAGTGGCTTTGATCAAGGGAGAAGGTGGCCCCCAAGCAAGAGCGAGGGTGGGGCAACATTTATCTCGCTCTCGGAGCAAACTCCTTGGCGTTTTGGTCAAACCGTCTGCTGCCTAGACGCCCCATGTTGGGGTTACATGGGGTCCCCTGACTCCCAGTTGGGCACCTGGGAACATAGCCTCTCCCCTGGCACATGCCCAATCATCATAGGGCTCACTTCCCAAAGCGGCCTTCCCAGCCCAACTTCAACTGGGGGAGTGCTGTGGGCAGGTACAGTGTGCAGATGGCTGGGTGGTGATGCATGGAATGGGCCCAGCTTCCCCAGGGGCCTCCAACTCATGCGAGGATAAGTGAGAGGCGGCCCCACCAAGAGGGAGGTAAGGCAGGGCATTGTGACAGTGTGTATGTGTGTGTGTGCACACGCACCTTGGGGACTGGAGGCAGAGAGCTGGGGAGCACGGTGCATGAGGGAAAAAGACAAGGCAGGGTCAGGGTTGAGGGATAAGTCTGGGTACCGCTGCCCTGGCTGAGGACCCCAGGCCTGGACTTCCTCTTGCTGAGGAATCTGGTATGGGTGGATTTTCCAGAGGTGGGGACAGAGGCAGCAGGGCCAGTTGGGCTCAGTCAGGGACCTCAGGGTGGGCAGGCAGTGAGCTCTCGCCCCTCCGGTAGGTCTCCCAGAAGCCCCGGTCCAGTTGTTCCAGCTGTGGGCCCAGTGGCAGGTGACCAGCCAAGTGCATGCGGAGGGTCTCCAGCCACTGCTCTAGCTTGACGAAGGACGGCCTGGGGTGACAGATGAAAAGTGGGTGCATGGTGGGGTCTGGCTCTCCAGGGGCTCCACCTTACCCCAAGGCCACTTCAAGGCAAGCACCCCACTAACTCACCTTTTCTCGGGGTCCAGGTCACAGCAGCGTACAGTGATGGGGAAGAAGCTTGGGGGGCAGTTTGGTGGGCAATAGCGGTCCAGGAAACCCCGCACATTGAGGCCAAAGTCCATAGTACGAGGCAGGTAATCGGGGTCTGCATTGACCCGGCCAATGATCTGTATGACATGAGCTCCATGGATTACCCTGGAACTCCTATTTTGGGGGGTCCTGGGGGGCTCCCCAAGGGAAGGTCACATAGGAACTGAGCACTATACCCAGCTGAGGCTATGCCCTAGTTCTGGGCAGCCATGTTCCCAGAGGCTGATGGCCTTTGTGGACACCCAGGCTGGAGTGTAAGAGGATGGGGAAGTGAGAGGAGCCCCCAGGGCCCTACGCCATCACTGTGCGACCTACCTCACAGAGGACAATTCCGAAGGAAAACACATCCACTTTTTCATCATAGCTACGGCCTGAATGGAGAGACCAAGGTTCAGCAAGGAATTTAGGGCCAGAGGACAATGTCACCTAGGACCAGGAGGCAGTTGCTAGTGAGTTCTATTTTTTGTTTTTTTTGAGATGGGGTCTCACTGTGTAGCCCTGATTGGCCTGGAACTCTGTGTAGACCAGACTGGCCTTGACTTAACAGAGATCTGCTTACCTCTGTCTCCTGAGTGCTGGGATGAATGGCAGGTGATGCCATGCCCAGTTAGTTGCTAGTGAATTCTAAGGGCATGGAGGTATTGATAGTGTTTGCCTGGCATGAAGGAAGCCCTGGGTTCTATCCCCAGCACCGCATAAATGGCACGGTAGTGAATGCCTAGCACTTGGGAGGCAGAGACAGGAGGATTATAAGTTTAAGGTCATCCTTGGTTACCAATTAAGGCCAGCCTGAGCTACATGAAACTCTGTCTCAAAAAAGCAAAATGGGGCTGGAGAGATGGCTTAGTAGTTAAAAGCACTGGCTGGTCTTGTAGAGGACCCGGGTTTGGTTCCCACCACCCACATGGCAGCTAACAACTAACTTCAGTTCCAGGGGACTCAATGCCTTCTTCTGGCCTCCATAGGCATTGCATGCAACAAGTGCACTTAATATACATGCAGGCAAAACACTCATACACATTAAATAATTAATAAATAAATAAATGCAAAACCAAACCAATCAACTAAATAAACAAACACCTAGGGCACTGAGGCATAGGTTCCACTCCCAGCCCTGCTGGATCTTAGCACCCTGCTGGGAGATCTGAGAGGTAAAGATGCCTGACTTCAACAAGGAGTTCCCACCCTGCTCCAGCACACCCTGCTGCATGACTGGGGGCAAGCCCTAGAAGCTATGGGGTCTCAAAACCAGCCATATCAAAAATCTGGAACCTAGAGATCTTATTTCATGGGAAACAAGTCTTAGAGGGGAATGGGGTGCAGTGGTGAAGTGCGAGCTTGGCATGCAGAGCTCCCCAGCACTAAAAAAGGAAAAAAAACAGTTTTTGAGGATGTGAGAAGTCAAGATCATGGGATGATACACCCTTGGATGTTGGTGGTGATGAGATGTTATCAAAAACAACTAAATTACATTAATTAATTGATTCAAGACAGGGTCATCCGCCTGACCTGGAACTCCATATAGTTTATGTTGGTCTCAAACTTGCAACAATCCTCCTGCCTCAGCCTCCTAAGTGCTGGGAATAAAGGTGTACACCACTAGCCCAGCTTCTTCCTGTCTCAATTTTAACCCTTCCCTTTCCCCTTCCTCCTCCTTGTTTTTTTGAGACTCTACCCTATGCTAGCCTGGAACTCACTGTGTAGCCCAAACTGGTCTTGAACTCATGAGCTTCCTGCTTCCACCTCCAGAGTGCTGGAATTACAGGTGTGTGGCACCACACCAAGCATATGCAGTGCTGGGGGAAGAATCGAGTTTTGTGCAGGCTAGGGAAGCACTCTAGCAACTGAGCCACACCCCCCAGTCCCACAAATGTCCTTTTAAGAGACAGAACTTGCCAGGCTGGTAGTATATACCTATAATCCCAGCACTTGGGAAGTGGAGAAAAGATTACTTTGAGTTTGAGGCCAGCCTTAGCTACATAACAAGATCTCGCTTCAAAACCAAAATTATGGGGTTAGAGATGCAGTTTAGTTGGTAGAGTGCTTGCCTAGCATGCATGAAGTTCTGGGTTCTATTTTAGCACCCCACAAACCAGGCATGGTAGTGCATGCCTTTAATCCCAGTACTCTAGAGGTAGAGGATCATAAGCTCAAGGTTATCCTTGGCTATATAATGAGATATACATGTAAAAATAAAAAAAGGTTGGGGATGGTGGCACATGCCTTGAATCCCAGAATTTAGGAGACAGAGACAGGTGGATCTCTGTTCCAGGTCAGTCTGATCTACATAGAGCTCGAAGCTAGCCACTACACAATGAGTCTCTGTCTTAAAAAAACCACAACAACAGGGACTGGAGAGATGACTCAGCAGTTAAGAACACTGATTGTTCTTGCAGAAGACCCAGGTTCGAATCCCAGCACCCACATGGCCACTAACAACTGTCTGTAACTCCAGTTCCAGGGGATCTGACAGCTTCTTCTGTCTTCCATGGGCATTCATTGCACGACATGGGTGCACTCACATACATGCAGGCAATACATGAATACACACAAAATAAAAATAATAAAATATTAAAATAAAATTAAAAAAACCACAACCCAAACCAAAAAACCCTGCTCGATGGCTCAGTGTGTAAAAGTGCTTACCTTACCGCCAAGCCTGAGCTACCTGAGTACTTGAGTTTATTTCCTGGACCCACATGTGGAAAAGAACCAACTCCTGCAAGCTGGTTTCTGACCTACATACATGAGCTATGGCACACGTGCACATGTGCACATGTACACACACACACACACACACACACACACACACACAATTAAATGTACCCCCCAAAACTAAGCAAATAAAAAACAGAAAAGACTTGCACAAAAGAGGGAGATAGATGTAAAGACAAGGTGGTAGCTGGAGAGCGGGGGGCCACCAGCCCAGAATGCCTGTGGGGCTGAGTTCAATCCTGCCACGTTACAGCAACAGGAAGTGAATACAGAACCCAAGATGCCAAGGGGCAAAGGCACAGGGGAGGCAGGCTGTGAGGTGGCTGCTCCTTTGGCTGGGACTGACCATTGATCATTTCAGGCGCCATCCAGTAGGGATTGCCCACCACGGTGTAGCGCTTCTTGCGGTCTGGCTTCTTGAGGCTTCGCAGATCTTCAGACTGAGTCTTTTCCTCTACCATGAGCCGGGCCAGCCCAAAGTCAGCTACCACCACATTCTTGTTCTGGAAATTTCCGAGGCAGGGTCAATGCTGAGAACTGGTCTTTACCCTGTCTGTTTCTACTGGGGACCTGTCCCCCACCATCCCACAGATGGTCCAGAGAATGCACATCAGACTCAAAGGGACTTGTGCAAAGAAGAGACTGGGGATGTGGCTCAGTGGTAGAGCACCTGCCTAGAATTCCTCAGTGAGGAGCTAGGGTGTGGCTCAGGGGTAGAGCACCTTCCTAGAATCCCCTAATGAGGGGCAGGAGTGTGGCTCAGTGGTAGAGCACCTGCCTAGAATTCCTCAGTGAGGGGCTGGGGGTGTAGCTCAGAGGTAGAGCTCCTACTTAGAATCCCCCAGTGAGGGACTGGGGGTATGGCTCAGTGATAGACTGCTTGCCTAGCATACTCAAAATCCTGGGGAAATAAACCCTTGACCAGCATTTCACCTGAGGTTATGGAACCTAATAGAGATTGTATTTGCCCAAGGCCTCATCAAGGTAGATGTGGAATATGTTCAATCCTTTCCCCACCAACTGTCCTTGGGGAACTTTCTCCAGGTGACCAGATGACACTGTCCACAAGCCCATGCCCCTACTTGTTGGTGCTGTCTGTATAGCCTGTGCTCCCTCTGCTGTGGATGACCTCCATGCATGAACACTACAGAGCTGGGGCTTCACACAGTTTCCATCACATCACTCTCCCTTTTTCTTTTTCTTTTTCTTTTTTTGTTTGGTCTTTTTGAGACAGGGTCTTCCTGTAGCTGGCCTGGAACTCACAAAGATCCGTCTGCCTCTGCCCTCCCAAGTGCTGGGATTAAAGGCATGCACCACCACACCTGGCTCTTTTCCTTTTTTTTGAGACAAGGTCTCACTATGTAGCACCCTGGCTGGCCTGGAACTTACTATGTGGACCAGATTAGCCTTGAATTTACAAGGATTCACCTGCTTCTTGCCTCCTAAAGATTGGGATTATAGGTGTTCACCACCACCCTCTTTTCTATTTAATAATCATTCCTAGTAACTTGAGTTGCTGGTGGGTCAGAGGGCAGACTGCAATCCAGGCCTGCCTGACTTCTGCTCTGCTGCTGTTGTGACCCGACCACCAGTTCCAGGAAAGTCCTGAGGTAAGGAACTGATAGGCCCCATCTCCCTCTGCCACACCTAGAACCCAGACTCTGGGGCCCCCATTGCTTACCTCACGGACCAGGCAGTTGTGGGAGTTGAGGTCTCGGTGGATGATGTTCATCGAATGGAGGTAGGCCTGAGTGAATGGAGAAATGGTGTAAGAAGAGGTTTAACCAATGGACTCCCCAGCTCAGCACTGACCTTCTGGAAGTACCTACTTGTCCTCCCATCCATCAGGCCAGCTGGTGTATTATAGGCACCTGCCCTACCACTGAGCCAACACTCATCCCTTCCCTGGGGGATTCTAGGCTGGTGCTCTACCACTCAGCCACACCCCAGCCCCTCACTGGAGGATCCTAGGCAGTCATCTAGATATGTGCTGCCCCTTTGAAGGTTCCCTTGGGGTCTGTTCCCACACTTCTCATGGCAGAACGGGTCAGTGCTGAGAACTGTTTATATAAGTTGCAGTAGGTCACTCACCATCCCTGATGCGATGTCCTTGGCAAAGCTGACCCTTTGACTCCATGGGTACTGGCTATCCTGGGGACAGGAGAGAATAGTTGGGATGGGGTTCAGGGAGTACTGGAGGTGGGGACAGGTATGTGAGTCACAGGGGCCAAGTGTGGTGCAAGGTGGGAGGGCTCTGCACTTTCCCTTGTACCAGTGGTTGCCTATAAATAGTTATCTTTAAAGTGCTCTGGATGGATAACCCCCAAAGTATCATTTTCTTTGGTTGTTTGCTTTTTGGGGGAAAAAAAATTCTTTTTTAAAGTTAAATTTTATGGGGCTGGAGAGATGGCTCAGTGGTTAAGAGCACTGGCTGCTCTTGCTCTTCCAGAGGACCTGGGTTCAATTCCCAACACCCACATGATGACTAACAACCATCTGTAACTCCAGTTCTAGGGGCTCTAACACCCTCTTCTGACCTCTGCAGGCATTACACGACACAGGTGCACTTACATACATTCAGGCAATACACTCATATACATGAAGTAAAAACAATAAATAAAATATTTAAAAATAATTAAAGTCACCGGTCATGGTGGTGCACGCCTTTAATCCCAGCATTTGGGAGGCAGAGGCAGGCGGATCTTTGTGAGTTCGAGGCCAGCCTGGTCTACATAGTGAGTTCCAGGACAGCTGGGGCTACAAGGAGACCTTGTCTCAAAAAAGACCAAAAAAAAAAAAAGCTGAATTTTATTTATTTATTATCTATTTAGAGTGTGTGTGCACATGTGCATACATGCATGCATGCGCCACAATGCCCATGTGGAGGTCAGAGGACAACCTGTGAGAGTTGACTTTCTCTTCTACCATGTGGGTCCTGGGGAATTGTACTGAGGTAGTCAAGCTTGGCAGCAAGTGCCTTTACCCACTGAGGCACCTCACAGCCCCTTGCCTGATTTATTGAGACAGGATGTTGCTACATAGCCCAGGCTGCATGAACTTTTGATCCTTCTGCCTCACTCTGGGTGAGGATTACAGGTGTGGGTCATTTGTTCTGGACCTAAAAGCACCTTTTCTCAACAGAATGGATTTCAAAAATTAAGGGGGAGGTACAAATTTTTCTGCAGTTTTGTTTTTGAGACAAGGTCTCACTCTGTAGCCTAGGCTGGCCTTGAACTTCTGACCCTCCTGTCTTCACCTCTTGGGTGTTGGTATATGCTGGGGATGGAACTGTGAGTCTTGTGAATGCTAGGTGAGTCTTCTACCTGCTGAGCCTCACTGGGGGATTCTAGGTAGGTGCTCTACCACTGAGCCATGCCCCCAAGCCCCACTCACCATGCTCTTGATGATGCCCCGCAGGGTGCCACCCTTGATGTACTCTGTGATGAAGTTCAGTCGCTTGTCCTTGTAGAGCACTCCGATGAACTTGAGCACGTTGGGGTGCTCTAGGCAGCGCATGACCTTCACCTGGAGGGGTACACACAGGCTGGTCTAGACCCTCTTCCCCCTCCCCATGACATCTAAACACCAGGGCACTTCAGCCCTTTTCAACCACTATGGCTATTGTGTCTTTTTTTGAGACATTGTCTGATGTAGCTCAGGCTGGCCTTGAACACATTATTTCAGCAGGGAGGTCTTTAAACCTTTAAAAATTATTATTATCAGCCGGGCGTGGTGGCGCACACCTTTAATCCCAGCACTCGGGAGGCAGAGGCAGGTGGATCTCTGTGAGTTCAAGGCCAGTCTGGTCTACATAGTGAGTTCCAGGACAGCTGGGGCTGCAAGGAGACCCTCTCTTAAAAAGACCAAATTTTTATTTTTATTTTATGTATATGAGGATATTGCCTGTGTATATCTGAGTGTACTCATGTCATACAATGCCTGAGGAGGTCAGAGGAGGGCGTCAGATTCCCCTAGAACTGGAGTTATGGGATGGGTGGTTGTTAGCTGTCATGTGGATGCTGGAAATTGAACCTAGGTCCTCTGCAATAGCAGTCAGTGCTCTTAACTGCTGAGCCATCTCTCCAGCCCGGTCCTTGAACTCTTGATTCTCATTACCACCATCTCCCAAATGCTGGAACTATAGGTGTGTACCACCATCCCCAGTTTTGAAAATGGAACCCAAGACTCTGTGCATGCCCATCAAGAGTTCCCAAGTGAGCTGCATCACCAGTCCATTACTGCTGTGTTTTCTTTTTTTGGAAAGAGTGTCTCCTATATCCCAGGCTGACCTTGAACTCACTGTGTAGCTAGGATGACCTTGAACTCATGACCGGGAGCTCCTGCCTCTACCTTCTGAGTACTGGGATTTATAGGTGAGCACCACCATGCCCGGTTTATGCAGTGCTGGAGATGGAACCCAGGACCCTTGAGCATGCTAGGCAAGCACTCCACCAGTGAAGCCACTTTGGATGCTCAGGGCTACTATCTTTGGTCAAGGTGCTCTGCTCCCAGCAAGGCATGACCCCCCCTTCCACCCTCCAGGCACAAACTTTTTCTTTCAACAAGCTGCTTCATCCTTCTGGAACCTTCTGTCACCCTTTCTCACTGGGGAGATGGGTGGGGACCATATGGCAGTTCTTTTCCACTGACCTCCTTGAGAAACGTCCTCTGGGTCTCCTCATCAAACCGGATCAGTTCCTTCATCACCATCACCTCTCCTGTCTCCCGGTGCGTCACCTATATGGGGGGCATGGATGTACAAGGACTCAAGGCCAAGAAGGACATGGTAACACATGCCTGTAATTACAGAGCCCCTTGGGAGGCTGAGAAAGGAGGATCTCATGTTCCAGGGCAGCCTGGGCTATATGAGTTGAGGTTAGCTTGGGCAACTTAGAGATCCTGTGTTGATAAGGAAATTAAAGCCAGATATGCTAGTGTACAACTGTCATCCCAGTATTTGGGAGGTGTGAGGAGGAAGATCAGGACTTCACAGGGTTGTCAGAGGGAAGAAGAGGTCAGAGGGATCTCACTCAAGGCCCCCCATCTTGCCCCATCCTCATACCTTGATGGCCTGACCAAAGCAGCCTTTGCCCAACACCTCTCCATGGATGAGGTCGGATGGGCGGAAGATGCGGTGTGGCCGGCAGACCACTCGGAGGGATTCGGAGCGACCCAGGTCCTTGCGCTGGGAGGCTGGCGAGGCCAGTGAGCCTGCGCCCGGGGAAGTGTCGATACTACAACTCCTCCTGAGAAAGATACACGGGGCCCAGTGCCACAGGAGGTGCCACATGGCTGAGCCCCCGTCCCTGACTCCTCGAGAAAAGCATCCTATTAACTAGTCAATGCTCCCTGCCTCTGATGGGAGCAGGTGGCATAGCCCAGTCTAGGGGCAGAGACACAGCTGCCCTCTGTCTGAAGGTACCTGTGGCCTCTTCTGCCTGGTGCTCAGGCTCAGATGCCCTGCCTGAGATACTGTATGGCCCAAGCTTGGTAGGAGTGCAGAGTCGGGAGTTCGTGTCTTTGACAGCGAAATCTTTTAGAATGAGGCTATTACTCTAAGGTGTCAGAAGGTGTTTCTCAAAAGTCCAGGCAAGGTCCCACGATAAGTGGGGTAAGCACTAGGCTGTCTCTGGGTGTGCTTTTCTTTTGGCTCCTCCTCCAACTTGGCAAAGGACTCCTGGCACCTGCTGTGTTCACCCACTGCAGTAGCTCACCAGCCAGTTCTACTCTAGAACATTCTAACTTCCAATACCTCCCATACCCCAGACCAGAGTAATCTTTGGGAAATACATCAATGTCCTGTGATACCCCCTTTGAGGGGGGCCCACCAGGCATGGGAAAAAAGTCCAAAGCCTCCTGCCTTATCTGACGCCCCAGAATTAGCTTCTGCCTCAGGGCCAACCCTCACCCCCTTGCTCCCATCACCCTGAGTTGATCACTGGAGGCTCCCATGAAGTCAAGATGTTGGTCTGTGTCCTCGCTCCCCAAAGTCCCCTGGCCTTGTTATATCAGGCATTAATAAAAATGAAGAAAACTGGTGTCTGGTGGAACATATTTGTAATCCCAGCACTTAAGAGACCAGGGCAGGAAGGTCACAAGTTCAAAGCCAGCCTGGTCTATGCAGTGAAACAAAACAAAACAAAACAAAACAAACAAAACAAAAAAGAGAAAACTAGACTGGTCTGTAATGTCTGACAGTTTTTCATGGTCTTTTTGTGTATGTGTATGGTATATGTATGTGCTTGTGTGGGTGTGTGCATACATGTGCATGAGCATACTGAGGCTAGAGATGGACCCTGGATGTCTTCCTCAATCATGCTCCATTTCTCTTTTCTTAAACATTTTTTATTTGTTATTTTTATTTTATGTGTATGTATGCTGCCTGTATGTATATAAATGTACCAGTGCCATGTAATGCCCGTGAAGCCAAAGAGGGCTTCAAACACCTGGAACTGGAGTTATAGTTACAGGCAGTTAACAACCATGTGGGTACTGGGAACTGAACCTGGGTCCTCTGGAAAGAGCAGCTAGTGCTCTTAATTGCTGAGCCACCTTTTCATCCCCTCCATCTTCTTGAAAAATATTTTAAAAGTTATTGTTAAAATTAAAAAAATATTTTATGTATGTAAGTGCACTACATGTGTGTAATGCCCACAGAGGCCACAGGAGGGCAACAGATCCCCCTGGAACTTCCTGATGTGGGTGTTGGGAATAAAACACACCAGGTGCTCCACAAGAACAGTCAGTGCTCTTAACTGCTGAGCCATCTCTCCAGCTACATTTTTTTCCTTTTTTTGAGACAGTGTTTCAGTTGCAGCCCTCGCTGGCTGGCTTGGCATTCACTACGTAGACTAAGCTGGTTTGGAATGCACAGCAATTCTGGGATTAAGGTGTACTACACAATTGGTTTTTTTCTTAGAAATATAATGTCTCATGTGGTCTAGGCTGGCCTCCAACTCACTACCTAGCCGAGGATAACGTTGAACTTCTGATCCTCTTGCCTCTACCTAAGTGCTGGGGTTACAGGTGTTTGCCCCCATACTTGGTTTATGTGCTCCTGGGGATGAAACCCAGGTCTTTGTGCACCTTTGGCAAACACTCAACAGACTGAACTACAGCCCCAGCCTGAAAATGTTTTACCAAAGTTTGCTCTTCACACCTCCTTGTTCTGTTACTTTGCCTATAGAAAAAAATGTGCACAGAACAACTTGTTTTGTCTTTTAAATAAATTTTAAAAATTAGAGAGAATGTCTGGAAGATGGCTTAGTGGGTAGAGGTACTTGCCATCAAGTCTGAGGACCTGAGTTTGATCCCTGGGAAACACATGATGGAGTGAGAGAACTGACTCCTGAATGTAGTCCTTTGACCTTTACATGTGCACCATGACATGCTCTCCCTGTCTACATAAAATAAACAGATAAGGGGCTGGAGAGATGGCTCAGCTGCTCTTGCAGAGGACCTGGGTTTGGTTCCCAGCACCCACATGACAGTTCATGACCATCTGTGACTCCAGAGATCTGACACCCTCTGCTGGCCTCCATGGGCATTGCACACACAGGTTCACTTTCACAAATGCAGGCAAAACAGTCATATACATAAAATAAAAATAAATTAAAAAAAATAATGTAAAGTTGCTGGGCATGGTAGTGCATGCCTTTAATCCCAGCACTTGGGAGGCAGAAGCAGGTAGATCTCTGTTTGAGGCCAGCCCAGTCTACATAGTGAGTTTCAGGCCAGCTGGGGCTACAGGGGGACCCTGTCTCAAAACAAAAACAAAAACAAAAAACAAACAAAAAAAACCAGACCAAAAAAAATGTAAAGAAAGACATTTAGAAATATATGCTGGTCTGCCTTATAGGTCTCTGTAACTTCCAGCTGGGGGTGCTGTTCCCTGTCATTGTCCTCCTCCTCTTTATCCTCCCATTCTGTGGAGCCCCTGCAGCCCAGGATGGTGAGGCAGCAGAAACAAAACCCCAGCACCAGGACAACAACTGCAGAAGTCAAGGAGCAGCTGACTTACAAGACAGGTTTCTGTCGGGCAGAGCTGCTGGCCTGTCCACTGGGAGTGTGCAGGGGGGAGCCCAGTGGGCTGGGATCCGATGGTGGCCCATGGCCCAGAGAGTCATGGGGGTCGTGCTCGAGGGTCAGCTGAAGCAGCCGGCTGGTCTCCTGGATCAGCAGGTCTATCTGGGGACAGGCAGGTGGCCAGGTGGGTCTCCCAAGTAAGGGCTCTACCTCTATCACCTCCCAGCCTGCCCCAGCCTCAGATGCCCAAGGTCCTACCTCATCCAGCGGCACATTCCGGATGGGCGTACCATTGATTTCCAAGATGCGGTCTCCCACATGGATGGAATTCTTCACATCCGGGCTCATGCAGCCTGGGTCCACTCTGGGGGTAGAACAGTGGTCAGACTGGTTCCCTGTCTGCTCCCCCAACCCAAGTCCCAACAGATATGGGGCGGGGTATGGTAACCCTTGGGTGGAAATCTGTAGTATGCTGAGGTCTTCTGCTTACTTTTTTATTAAAAAGATTTGTGGGGTCTGGGTGCGGTGGCACAGTACTTGGGAGGCAGAGGCAGGCAGATCTTTGTGAGTTCAAGGCCAGCTTAGCCTATATAGTGAGTTCCAGGCCATTAAGGCTACATGGAGACCCTGTCTCAAAAAGACAAAAAAAAATTTTATTTAATTTTATGTGTATGAGTGTTTTACCTGCATGCATGTAAGTATACCATGTGTATACAATGTGTCAGGTCTCCTGGAATTAGAGTTATGGATGGTTGTTAGCTGCCATGTGGGTGCTGGGAACTAAACCTGGTCTTCTGGAAGAGCAGTCAGTGCTCTTAACCACTGAGACATCTCTCCAGCCCTTTTGTTATTTTTCATAGCATGTCAGTTGTGCATATTACTGGGCTTTATTATGACATTTCCATACATGTATATAATGATGTATTTTGATCATAGTCACCCCATTATCCTCTTATTCCCTCCCACTTTGTTGATCCCCTTTCTCTTCCCAGCTAGTCTCCCTGCCACTTTTGTGTCTTTTGTTTGTGGGCGGAGACCCCATGACTTTCATTACTGTTGCTTATAGAAGCATGGCTACCCTACTGGAAAAAATGTCTTTCCCTCCCCCAGCAACCTTGCTATTCTTTTTCTTTTTTGTCTTCTTGAGACAGGATCTCCCTGTAGCCCCAGCTATCCTGGAGCTCACTATGCAGACCAGGCTGGCCTTGAATTCAGAGATCTGCCTGCCTCTGCCTCTGAGTGCTGGGATTAAAGGTGCAAGCGTGTGTGTGTGTTCAGAGGATAACTTGCAAGAGTTGGTTCTTTCCTTCTACCATGTGGGTCCCTGTGGATGGGACTGGGTTCTCAGGCTTCCAGAAAACTGACCCAGTCACAGAGATTGTTTTTGAAGAAGGATGCTAAAGGCCACTCTCTTATCAGATCAGCTTTCTTGGGTCTGGGCCTGCAAAGACTTACAAAGTGAAGTATAAGTTCTTGCAGAGGCAGAATGTTCTGGTGGCAGCTCCAGCTCCCTCTTGACCTCATTACTGAAATACTTTTATATTTTCAGTAGCATCTGCAGTTATTTTCAGAGAGCTACATCAGCATCTGTTGGGCCACTGTTAAGGTTTGGCTAGGAGGTGTTCCCTCATGTGTTGAATGCTTGGTCCCTACTTGGTGGCACTATCTCAGGAGGTGGTGGAACTTGAATTCAGAGATCTGCCTGCCTCTGCCTCTGAGTGCTGGGATTAAAGGTGCAAGCGTGTGTGTGTGTTCAGAGGATAACTTGCAAGAGTTGGTTCTTTCCTTCTACCATGTGGGTCCCTGTGGATGGGACTGGGTTCTCAGGCTTCCAGAAAACTGACCCAGTCACAGAGATTGTTTTTGAAGAAGGATGCTAAAGGCCACTCTCTTATCAGATCAGCTTTCTTGGGTCTGGGCCTGCAAAGACTTACAAAGTGAAGTATAAGTTCTTGCAGAGGCAGAATGTTCTGGTGGCAGCTCCAGCTCCCTCTTGACCTCATTACTGAAATACTTTTATATTTTCAGTAGCATCTGCAGTTATTTTCAGAGAGCTACATCAGCATCTGTTGGGCCACTGTTAAGGTTTGGCTAGGAGGTGTTCCCTCATGTGTTGAATGCTTGGTCCCTACTTGGTGGCACTATCTCAGGAGGTGGTGGAAACTTCACCAGGTGAGGCTTAGTGAGACAAAGTGGGTCAACTGGGCAAGTGCTTCGTGTCTGGACGTGTGTGTACATGTGTGTATGTGTGTGTGTGTGTGTGTGTGTGTGTGTGTGTGTGTGTACATGTGGATGCCAAAGGATGACTCTGAGTTTCTCAGTTGCTGTCCACCTTTTTCATTGTGTCTGTGTGTGTGTGTGAGTCAGGGTCTCCCTGTAACCCCAGTTGGCCTGGAACTCACTATGTAGACCAGGCTGGTCTTAATCTCACAGAGATCCATCTGCCTCTGCTTCCCTAATACTGGGATTAAAGGCGTGTGATACTATACCCACTTCTGCCTCTGCCTCTTGAGTGTTGGAATCTAAGGCATGCACTAGCACACCTGGCTTCCAGTTTTAAAAAATATTTATTATTTTATGTGTACAAGTGCATTGCCTGCATGTATGTAATCGTGCCCATACCATGCAATGCCTGTGGAGGTCAGAAGAGGGCACTGGAATCCCTTGGAACTGGAGTTAGCTGCTATGTGGGTGCTGGGAATCGAACCTGGGTCTTCTTCTGGGTCCTCTGCAAGAGCTGCCAGTGCTCTTAATCTCTGAGCCATCTCTCCAGAACCCCACTTTGCTTTTTGATGCATGGTCTGTCTTTGGCCTGGAGCTCACAGATTAGGCTGGCTGGCCAGTAAGTCTCAGGAACCCATCTCTATCTGCCACCCCAGCTCTGGAATTACAAGTATAGACCACCTGGTTTAGCTTATTTTGTGGTGTGTGTATGTGTACTTGCAGGAGTTAGTTCTTTCTTTCCACCATGTGGGACCCAGTAACGGAACACCAGTTGTCAGGCTCAATGGCAAGCAACTTTACCCGATGAGTCATCTCACCAGTCCTGGCTTTTTAAGTGTGTTCTAAGAGAGTGAACTTAGGTCTTCATGCTCATAAGCGCTTTATTGACTAAGCCATCACCCCAGTGGGGGTGTGCCTTTGAAGGGTATCCCTGGTCCCTGGTCTCTTTCTCTCTCTATATATATCCTATCTCTCAGGAGGTAAAGAGTCCCTTCCTCCACAGGTTCCTGCTGTCATGAATAGGACTCAATTACTATGGTACCAGATCCCCTGAAATTGCAAGATAAATCTCTCCCTGATTAAGTTTATGCCAGGTATTTTGTCACAGTGATAGAAAACTAACTAATATAAGCAGGCTGCTAGGACAGGCCCACTGAAATGTCAACACAGTCTCAAAGTTGCAGTCCTCAAGTTTGCCTCCTGCCACAGCCATCTACCAAGCTTCGGCTTCCAGTTGTGTGCCAGTCACTCACCCCTGGACTCGGACAGTGTGGGAGTGTTCAGTGCCGCAGCCCGGTGGGCCATGAGGTGGGTCGATGGAGACAGACAAGCCTCGTTTGCCATGAGTGGAGGCTGGGATGGACACCAGGGTGACCGTGTGGGGCAGGTGGGAGCTGGGGGAGTCAGGCAGGATCTGTTCGATGACTGGGGTCACCACGGTCTGGAAGTAGCAGTGCCCGCTGGGAAGGCCACCAGCAGTGGGGACCCAAAGACAGGGAAAGAAAAGAGTGTCAGGAGGAGGTCAGAATCACTTCCCTGCAGCCCCACCCCACCCAGGCTCTCTGTTCCTCCCTTTTCCTATATCTCTACCCACCCCAGCAAAATGGAGGGACTTGGGGCCAGACTGAGTATGCCCAGTTGTTTCAGCACCCTGTTCTGAGTCTCATTCATTCTAGCTTAAAAAAATCTTTTTAAAAATTATATTTGGGGCTGGAGAGATAGCTCAGTGATTAAGAATACTGACTGTTCTTGCAGAAGACCTGGGTTCGAATCCCAGCACCCACATGGCAGCTAACAACTGTCCGTAACTCTAGTTCCAGGGGATCCAACAGTCTCTTCTGTCCTCCTCAGCATTGCAGGACACGGTGCACTTACCTACATGCAGGCAATATACACATACACATAAAATAAAAATAATAAATAAAATATTTTTTAAAAATTACATTTATTTGTGTGTATTTGAGGAAGCACGAGCACCTGCCACAATGCAGGTGGAGGTCAGTGGACAACTTGTAACAGGTGGTTCTCTCCTTCCATGATGTGGGTCCTGGGGTTGAACTCAGGGAGTCAGGCTTAGGAGAAAAGTGCTTTTACCTGCTGAGCCATCTCACTGGCCCTTTAACTTGAAAAAAAATTTATTTATTTATTTAAATTTTATGTGTATGTATGTTTTGACTGCATATATGGAAATGCACCCATGTTATGCAATGCCTGTGGAAGCCAGAAGAGGGTGTCAGATCCTCTGGAACTGGAGTTTTGGATAGTTTTTAGCCACCATGTGGATGCTGGGAACTAAACCTGGGTCCTCCACAAGAGCAGCCAGTACTCTTAATCACTGAGCCACCTCTTCGGCCCTTTAACTTAAAAAAATTACATTTATTAGTATTATTATTAATTTTTTTTTTTTGAGCCAGGGTCTCCCTGTACCTCAGCTGATCTGGAACTTGCTTTGTAAATAAGGCTGGCTTCAATCTCACAGAGATCTCCCTGACTCTGCCTCCCAAGTGCTAGAATTAAAGGAATACACTACCATGCCCAACACATTTATTTATTTTTGTCAAAGTGTGTGTGGGGCATACGTGGAGGTCAGAGGACAACTTGCAGGAGTCAGTTCTCTCCTTCCACCGTACGAGTCCTGGGGATTGAACTTAGGTTGCCAGACTTGGCAGCAAGCCCCTTAACCGCCATCTCACAAAGCTCCATTCTGGCTTTGTTTAGTTCCTGTGATGCTGTCAGATGGCTGAGATGAGGCAAGGCCCTTGGGACTACATCTAGTTTGGGAGGAAGTCATTAAAAGCCCATTTGGGATCAGGCCCTGCTGTTCTCTAATCCAGCTCTGTCAGGCTTTGTATAAGACAGGATTGGTCTGGTCTCTGTCCCTGGCTCTGAGGGAGAAAGACTCTAAGTCCTTAGAACAGGGGGATCTTTGTTATTTATGAGCTCTCTGGAAGATGCTTGGGTCTATGCAAATGAGATCAGTCAACCCAGGGCTGGTCCCCATGAAGAATGACCATGACGAAGGCCTGGGGCTTGCAGTCAGCCTGGCTTCCCAGAAGCTGGCTAGAGGCAGCTAAATTGTGTGGCCGGATGATTTTATAAGAAACCTCAGTGGATGCTGGACCTCAGTGTGGCATCCTGCTAGCAAACACAAGACGGGCAGAGGAGAGGGTGGCTTCTGAACTGTGTCCTTTGTAATCAAACTGGTATGTGAAGCATAGCACTTTTTGGTGTTCTGTGAGTCATGTAGCAAATGATCAAACTTGACAGGGTCACAGGGGGTCCTTGGGTTGGAAGCCAGTTGGTCTGAAGTGTATGAGGTCCCTGGGGATGCCTGAGTGTACAGCTGGTGTCTGGAGTAGGAACATGCTTCAGGGTGATGGTGCATATAGCTAGTAGCTCTGTGTCAGCTCTGGTGGCTGGTGCCAGAACTGCACTGCAGTGGCATATGGAAGAGAGCTAGTTAGTGTCTGGGAAGTCTAGGTCCCTGTCATGCTTTTTCTTTATGATACTGGGAACTGAACCTACGACCTCACAAATGATAGAGAAGCCCTCTACTGCTGGGCCATGCCTCTAGTCCCTCACTGGGGGAGTCTAGGCAGGTGCTCTACCACTGAGCCATATCCCCAGGCCCTTACTAGGGAATTCTAGGCAGGTGCTCTACCACTGAGCCACACCCCCAGGCCCTTACTAGGGGATTCTAGGCAGGTGCTCTACCACTGAGCCACACCCCCAGGCCCTTACTAGGGGATTCTAGGCAGATGCTCTACCACTGAGCCATACCCCCAGGCCCTTACTAGGGGATTCTAGGCAGGTGCTCTACCACTGAGTCATACCCCCAGCTTTCTTTTTCTCCTTCTTATTTTGGAAGCAGGTCTCACTAAATTTGGCTTGGAATTTGCAAACCTCCTCCTTTAGCTTCCTGAGAAGCTGGGATGACAGGCTTTGTGGTTTCTTTTATTCCTATGAGGTGGAAGGAAAGGAGGCAGGGAGGAATGGCATTGCCTTCTCCTATTTCACCACATGGAAATTCAAGCCTGGTATGGGGCAGCCTGTGCCCTTGAGGCCCTGCTCAGAAGGGGACCCACATTACTCACCAGTACAGCTTAGAGTGCTCCACCAGCGTGTAGGTGTCCCCATCCCCAATGAAGGTCCCGCAGGTGAGGCAGATGAAGCACTCAGGGTGGTACTTCAGCTCCCCAGCCACCTATGGGAGGGATACAACACAGCTTAGTGGTGTCTGTAGTCCAGAGGTACAGCCAAGAACAATCTCACTGCACAGTTAGGGGGCCAAGGGACAGGAACAGACAATGCAGGGCAGAGTGGAATGGGGATGGGACTGAGAGGTGGTACAAGGTAGAACAAAGAGATAATGGGGGAAGACCTGGAGCAGGGACACAAGGGCAAATGCACTTGAGCTTGTGGAAAAGTGCTTACCATGACCAGTCCTTTGGTGATGTGCTCGGAGCACCCATGGCAAGACTCGCCATAGCGGGCCCAGTAGTCCTTCTTACAGAAGAGCTGTCCATCCTTCTCATAGTACTGGTGCGAAAGGGAGGTGCTGCATTCACAACACCTGGGGGAAGAGGGGTCAGGCTGAGGGTGGCCATGACCACCCTCTCCATCTACTTTTTAAAAAATTAAAATATTTTATTATGTTTTATTTTATGTGTATGAGTGTTTTCCCTGCATGTAGGTAAGTGCAACAGTATTGTGCAATGCCCATGGATGTCAGACAAGGGTGTTGGAATCCCTGGAACTAGCTAGAGTTAGGGACAGTTGTTAGCCACCTGTGGGTGCTAGGAACTGATCTTGAGTCTTCTGTAACAGCAGCCAGTACTCTTAACCACTAAGCCATCTCTCTAGTCCCCATACACATTTTTTCTAAAATTTATTTTATTATTTTTATGTGTTCTACTGTGTGTGAATATGTGCATATCACTGCAATGCCCATGGAGACCAGAAGATGGTGGTGGATCCCCTGGGGCTGGAGTTACAAGTGGTTGTGATTCACATGCTGGGAGCTGAACTTGAGTCCTCTGCAAGAGCAGCCAATGTCTTACCACCCCCCACAAGCCATTTCTCCAGCCCCTTCTTTTACAGGTATTTATCCTTGGTATTTGCCAAAAAATAAAAATCGGGACTTGAGATGTAGCTGTCTTGGTAGAGAGCTTGCCTAGCATGAACAAAGTCTTGTCTCAGACAAACAAACAAACAAAAATAATGAAAAGATAGCTGGGCTTTGTGGTGTTTACCTATAATCTCAGTAGTTAAGAGGCTGAAGCAAGAGGATCTTCAGTTGAAGCCAATATGGCCTACATAATGAGACCTTCTTGGAAACAGCAAACAGAACAGTGCTGGGCTGGGGGCACATGCCTGTTATCCTAGTACTCAGGAGGTGGAGGCAAGACGGTTAGGAGTTCAAGGTCATCCTTGGTTACATACTACATAGTGAGTTCTAGGTCTACCTGGGACATGAAGTCCTGCCTCAAAAGTAAAAGAAGGCAGAGCATGGTGGTACAGGCCTTTAATCCCAGCACTTGGGAGGCAGAGGCAAGTGGGAATCTATAAGGTTGAGGCTAGCCTACTTTACAAAGGGAGTTCCAGGCCAGCTGGGGCTACAGGGAGATCCTATCTCAACCCCAGTTAAAATATATACACATATACATATATATGTGTGTGTGTGTGTGTGTGTGTGTGTGTGTGTGGCAATGCTGTTTTGTTAATCTTACATGGCTGGGCATGGTAGTGCTTGTCAGTCAACAACTCAGGAGGAAGAGCCAGGCAGATTTTTGGGTCTGAGGCCAGCTTGGTGTACACAGCCCTTTCCATGCCAGTATTACATTGTGAGACTCGGACACCCCCCCAACTGTAATTATCATCATTATTACTATTACTTTTTTTTTTTTTTTTTGGTCTTTTTGAGACAGGGTCTCCCCGTAGCCCCAGCTGTTCTGGAACTCACTGTGTAGACCTGGCTGGTCTTAAATTCAAAGAGATCTGCCTGCCTCCCGAGTGCTGGGACTACAGGTGTGTGCCACCACGCCCGGCTTATTATTATTATTATTATTATTATTATTATTATTATTATTATTATTATTACAATTGAGAAAGGGTCTCCCTGAAGCCCCAGCTACCTTGAACTAAGTAGACCTGTCTGCCTCTACTCCCTAGTGCTGTGATTAAAGGTATATACACCCATGCCTGGCTATCACCAAATATTACTATTACTCTGTGTATCTGTGTGTATATAAGTAGATGTGTGCCACCATGCACGTGTAGAGGCCAGAGGACAATTTCATGGAGTCGGTTCTCTCGTTCCATCTTTACACAGGTTCTGGGGATTGAACTCAGGTCACCAGGCTTGTGCAGCAAGCCTCTTTACCCACTTTAGCTGGCTCATCTTTTATAGCTTCTGCAGTTTGGGGCTTGCACAACTATGTTTCAGTTCTGCCTACAGGGGGTCAACTGAGGGTTGAGGCTTGCTTTTCATCCAGGCCTCTGTCCCCAGTCATGTACGGAAGATGGGACATAAGGAAGGTGATTTGTTCTTGGTCACCAGCCACATGGATAGCAGAAGTGGAGAAGAGAGCATGGAGGAACTACAGCATCCCTCTAATGGACCACACTGTTTGCCTCCACCTCCCTCTAGTATCTCAAGTGGCTATAACCCCTTATAGCTGGAACACCTGAACATCAGCCTATTCCTGCTTTCTGGGTTACCAGGGAAGATGAATTACAAAGTCTCCATCCTGACAGAGGTGTCACTTATGGGTACCTCAGTCCCTGCAAAGCTGTTGTTTCACTTACATACAAGATAGAGAGGTTGGGCTCACCATAGCCTAGCATGCAGAGCCAAGATCCCATCAGTGACAACATAGGATGCTATAGCTTCCCAGAGCTGGGCAGCCCTCTTGATTTTACAAGAAGGCCTTGGGGCGGGGGACTGGAGAGATGGCTCAGCAGTTGGGAGCACTGGCTGCTCTTGCAGAGGACCTGGGTTCAGTTCTCAGCATCCACCTGGTGGCTACAACCATCCATAATTCTAGTTCCAGGGGATCCTTCTGACTTCTGTGGGCCTTGCACTTACACACATGCAGGCAAAACACCCACATACACATTAAAGAAAAAAAAAATCTCCCCCAGGTCTGCATCTTTTAATTCCAGTACTCCAGAGGCAGGCAGACTTATGTGACATCAAGACCAGACTCATCTACAGGGAGACCCTGACTCAGCCAATTAAACAAAAGGCCCAGGGGAGCAGCTTAGCTCCTCCATTGACCAGCACTAAATTGACACCCCACCTTCCCTCAGGAAACCAGCCCAGGATCATCAAAACCAGCACAGTTTAAGAAACAACCAGAAAGGCTGGGGCAGGAACTGAAGGGCAGATGGAGAGAAAGGGTGTTTCCTTGCCTCTAACCTACATGTCTAGTTTCTTTGGCCCAGGCATCCTGGTGGGGTAGGCACCCTTTTGTCAGCCTGCAGGATTCTAGAGAGCTATACCTGGGTCAGAATGCACATCTGTGCATAAAGCAGGCTGCAGATGCAACTGGCTCCATTTGCAGGTCACAGGGGACCAGAAGGAAGGAGGCTGTGATGGGTACCAATCTAAGAGGTGGGGAAAACCAGGGACTGGGCCAGACTCTTGGTTCCCCTCCCCCACACTGGTGGCCTGCTCATTAACGGACATAACTAAAGGACTGAGGACAAGAACAGGGCAGGAGGGGAGCTGTAAGGCAGCTGATGGGATACTGTCCCTTTAAGAGGATCTAGTTGTTTCCCATTGTCTGGGTGCCTGGCCTGCAGGGAGGAGCTGAGGCTGAGGAACACAAAATGTCAGGGTTCAGAAGCACAAGGTAGGGGTGTACCCAGGAAGAGGGCCTGATATGGTGTCCCAAAGGAGTCAGAGGGTGGAGGAGGGCCGGGGGAAGAGGAGCACAAGACAGACGCAGGGCAAGAGCCATGACATCATGCTCACAGCCCTAACTACCCAGCAACAGCCCAGGGGAGGGGCTTTGCACTGTTGGACGGTTGGGATAGTGGGAGGAGTTTCGAGACCTCCCCAGGGCTTTAAACCTAAGGGAAGATGACACAGCAGTGCAAAGAGGTATGTAGTTCCTGCCCACTCAGGAAGGTCCCCCCAGTCCTGCACTATTGACTGATTTGCCTACTGCCCTCAGTGTCACACACAAAAAAAGCCTGCCTGCTTGCCCCACGGATGGGGGTTTCAAGCAGCTGCATACCACTCTAGGAGAAAAAGCAAAAAGCTCTTCTCCCATTTGGGGGGTGGTGGGGGGAGGAACTCCCGCTATTCCACTCATTCATCACAGACAGGGCTCCTCCTTCCTGGTGGTAGCCAGTAGAGACCTGACCATGCCTTGCCCAGGAGCTTGGTCACTACTTCCTTGAAGCCTCTCCCAGCCCACATTGCTCCCACGCATCACCATCATCATCATCATTGTCATCACAAGCCTTAGCCAATCCACAGAGTTTAGCCAGGCCCTGCTCAGGAGGGGGCCTATCCCACCCAGCACCCTTAGAGCTACTCTTGGTATCTCTCTCCCTCTTTTTCTTTCTCCCTTCTTCCTTTCCTTCTCTACCCTCTTACTATTGAGACTGGGTCTTATGCAGCCCAGTCTGGCCTCAAACTCACTATGTAGTAGAGGATGACTTTGAACTCCTGATCCTCCTGCCTCCACCTCCTGAATGCTGGGATTATAGGTGTGTGCCTCCATGTTCAGTTTATGAGATGGAACCCAGGGCTTGGTGCATGCTAGGCAAGCACTTTTATCAGCTGAGCTACATCCTCAGTCTGACCTTGAACTCCTGATCATCCTACTTCCACTTCCTCAGTACTGGGATGATATCACACCATCACGCCTGGTTTGTCTTCATTCTAGATGGGCTAAGTCTCCTTATGGCCTCAGGATCTGGGATCATGAAGTAGTGTAGTGGCTACTCCCCAAAAAACCTTCGCTGGCGGAAGGCACAAAGGAGCCTCTGACTTTGTCTAGCCCCTTACCCTCAGACCACATTCAGTTAGGAGCCAGAGGGGATAAGAAGAGGAAACAGGGTGGATCCCCACAAGGGATGGGCTGGGGATGTGGCTCAGTGGGCAGAGTACTTGCCTGGCACGGAGGAAGCCCTGGGTTCTATCTCTAGCCCTGCATAAACCAGATGTACTAACAGCACATGGGAGGTACAGACAAGAGGATTAAAAGTTCAAGGTCAGCCTGGGCTACATGGCTAGTTTGAGGCCAGCCTGGGCTACGTGCAACTCTTGTCATGTCAAGAGAGTCATACTAGGTATTGGATGGGGCCTAGAGCTGGCTCAGGGCCTGGCTGGTGGAACTCCTGAGGTTGTTGCCTGTCCCTCCCTAGTAGAACCAGGCTGAGGGCAGGAGAGAAGAGGGCCCTGGCGAGGGTGTAGGGCTGACTCTGCTGCATGAAAGGTTGGACTGTCTCACTCACTCACAGTGACACCAAGGGGTGGGGGAGTGAGCAGCTGAGGGCCAGCCTCAGGGGGAAAAGGTACCAGAAGGGCCAGAGGTAAGGGAGCGGCTAGCCAACACA